GGGGGTCTTCCTCATTTTTTCTGACCTTCCACTTTACCAAGTATGGTGTCCTTATCCAGGGACTGGTCCCTCCTAATAATATGTACAAAGTATGAGAGACAAAGTCTGGCCATCATGACTTCTAAGGAGCATTCTCACTATACTTTTTCCAAAACAGATTTGTTTATCCTATTGGCAGTCCATCGTACTTTTCATATGCTCCTCCAGCACCATAACTCAAATGCATAAATTCATCTACAGTCTTCCTTACTCACTGTCCAATTTTCACATGCACATAAGGCTACTGGAAATTCCATGGCTTGGGCCAGGCACACCCTACTCTTCAAACTAATATCTTTGTTTTTTATTTCTTGGCTGCAGCTTTCATGAGTGTTGATGGTTGACCCGAGAAAAATGAAGTATTTGACAACATCAATCTTTTCTCCATTTATCTTGGTCCAGTGGTGAACATTTTTGTTTTGTTGACTTTGAGGTGCAACCCATATGGAAGGCTGTGGTCTTCAATCTTCATCAGTAAGTATTTTAAGTCCTTTTCGCTTTCAGCAAGCAAGATTGTATCACCTGCATATCACAAGTTGTTTTGGGGTGTAGATATAAGAATTTTAACACTTGCATGGATCTCTGTAACTATCACCAAAATCAGATTAAAGAATAATTCCATTACCAACAAATACCCTCCCTATTGCTATCCTTTTATAGACACACACTGAACAATTCCATTAGTATATAACTCTGTTGATTCCTTCCATCTTCTTTGAATGCTTTCTGAAGTGTTCAATATTTGCACATATTACTGTTAGGTGGTGCCAAGTCAGTTCTGATTCATCCTGATCTTATACACAACAGAACAAAAACTGCCCGGTCATGCCATCCCTACAATTGTTATGTTGGAACCCACTGTTGCCACCACCGTGTTAATCTATCTCAATGGGGTCTTCCATTTTTTTGTTGACCTTCCAATTTTCCAAGCATGATGACCTTCTCCTAGTCCCTCCTGACAACATGCCCAAAGTATGAGAGACAATGTCTCACTATACTAGCTTCTAAGAAGCATTCTGTCTGTACTCCTTCCACGAAAGATTGATTTGTTCTTCTGGCAGGCCATAGTATTTTCAATATTCTTTGCCAACACCATAATTCAAAAGCATCAACTCTTCAGTCTTCTTTATTCACTGTTTAATTTTTACATGCATATTAAGCAACTGAAAATAGCTTGAGTCAGATGTACTTTAGCTCTCCAAGTGACATCTTTACTTTTGAGCACTTTATAGAGGTCATTTGTGGCAGATTTGCCTAACGCATTATGTCACTTGATTTCTTGACTTCTGCTTCCACAAGTGTTGATTGTGGATGCAAGCATAAAGAAGTCTTTGACAACTTCAATTTATCATGATGTTATTTATTTGTCTACTTGTGGTGATTTTGTTCTCTTTACACTGAGTTGCAATCTGTACTGAAGGCTGTAGTCTTTGGTCGTCATAAGTAAGTATTGTATTTCCTCTTCATTTCCAGCAAGCAAGGTGTGTCATCTGCATACTGCAGGTTGTTAATGAGCCTTTCCCCATCCCTGATGCCATGTTCTTTTTCAAATAATCCAGCTTCTTAGACTATTTGCTAAGCATATAGATTGAATGAGTAGAAGAAAGGAATCAATCTTGGCATACAATTTTCCTGATTTTAAGCCATTCAGTATTCCTTGTTCTGTCCAAACAACTGCTTCTTGATTTATGTACAGGTTTCTCATGAGCACAATTAAAAATTCTGGAATTACCACTCTTCTCTTCACAATGTTATTCATAGTTATTATGACCCACACAGTTGAATGCTTTTGCATCGTTTATGAATCAGAAGTAAACATCTTTCTGGTATTCTCTGCTTTCAGCCAAGATCCATCTAACATCAGCAATGATGTTGATAGCATCACATCCCCTTCTGAATTCAGCTTGAAATTCTGGCAACTCCCATTTAATGTACTGCAACAACCATTCTTAAATTATCTTCAGCAAAAGTTTACTTTCATATAATATTCATAATATTGTTTGATGTACTCATTTCATTGGGTCACACTTCTGTGAGTATGCATAAATATGAATCTTTTCCAATCAATTGGCACGTTGCTGTCTTCCAAATTCCTTAGCATAGCTTCCAGCATCATGTTGTTGTTGTTGTCAGGTGCCATCGAGTCGGAACCAACTCATAGTGACCCCATGCACAGCAGAA